TGTGTGTGTGTGTGTGGGTGTGTGTGTGGGTGTGTGTGTGTGTGTGTGGTGTATGTACGTGTAGATATGCAGGTATGCTTACCTGGGCACATGCAGAGTCCAGAAGAGGATTGCTTTGTCACTTTCAACATTATTCCCTTGAGACAGAATCCCTGACTGAACCTAGAGCTAGACTGGTGTCCAGCAAGCGTCAGTGACTCCTCTATCTTCACCCCCATCCCCAGCATTGGGGTTACAAGTACCTGTGTCTATTCCCCACTTACCACAGGGCATTCAAACTTGTGTTCATGTAACAAGTGCTCTTACCCACTGAGCCACCACCCCAAGCCCTGTCTTTTGTTTTATTTTTGATACAAGGTCTTACAAGCGGTTCAGGCTCAGGTTCTTGGACATTGATGCTTAGGTTGGCCCTCAATCTGTGGCAGTCTTCCTGCCTCTGCCTCCTGAGGGCTGGGATGAGCTACCATTCTTTGTAGTCAGTCAAGCTATTAAAAAAGAAAAAGCACAAAGGTAAACGTAATAAGAAGACATCGGAGAGCCAGTTGAGAAGCTGAGAGCGCTTGATGCTCTTGGAGGGAACCAAGGTCAGTTCCCAGCACCACTCAGGTGGCTCACAGCTGCCTGTAACTCTAGCTCCAGGGACTCTGACACATTCTTCTGGCCTCTGAAGGCCTTTGCACTTACAATTGCACACACACACACACACACACACTTTTGAAAAAAGTATTAAAAATGCCAAGACATTTTTATAAGGGCCAACAGTAATCAACAAAGCAAGCTACCTCTGACTTATTTTTTAAAAAGGATTTTTTTTTTTTTTATAAATGAATCCATTACCAGCACACAGGAGACAGAGGCAGGTGGATCTCTATGAGTTCAAGGCCAGTCTGATTTACAGTTAGTTCCAGGACAGCCAGTGCTACACAGAGAAACCCTGTCTCAAAAAAAACAAAACAACAAAAGGGGGAAAAAAAAAAAACATGAAATGGGCGGGGAGGGGGAGAGAACATACTATGTACTCAAGGATCCAGTCAGAATTCAGGAAAGTGAGGGAGAACTTTCTTTTCCTTTGTCCTCCCTCTCCCTTCCCTTTTCAGTCACCTTCCCCCCTTTTTTGTTGAAGAAAAGCCATAATATTTTAAGAAAAGGTTGTGGTGGAGGTGCCTTGGTGTAGTACCAAGCAGGAGGGCCCTATTTGGTCCTCAACATTCTCCCCTCCTGTTGAGACAAGGTCTTGTTAAGTAGCCCAGCTGGCCTCCAACTCCCTATATAGCCTAGACCAGTGCATCTCAACCCGGAGGTTGAGATGTGGGGTTGAGATGTGTGTACTGTGATTCAGCTATCGCCTAGGAGAAGAACCCTGACCCTAGAGCAGGGAGGGGTATGTGGGGGAAGGGCTAGAGTCCACCTAGAGCTGAAAGATGATGTGGAACAACGCAGGAAAGGGGGCTGGGGAGATGGCTCAGGGTGTGAGAGAGCTTGCCTTGCAAGCAGAGGACCAGGGTTCAATTCCCCTGCACCCATCTTTTGGGCTGTGTAACCCCAATACTATGGGAGGTTGGTACCAGAGGATAGCTAGAGCTTGATGGCTGCCAGCCTGGCTGTGTTAATTACTTATCTATTGCTCTGATAAAACACTATGGGCAAGGTAACTTAGAGAAGGAAGTGTTTAATTGGGTTTACTGTTCCAGAGGGATAAGAGTCCATCATGGTGGGGAAGCATGGCAGCAAGCAGACATGGCAGCTGGAGCAGGAAGCTGAGAGCTCACACTGAACCACAAGTGCAAAGTAGAGAAAGTGAACTGGAAATGGCCTAAAGCTTTTAATCTCAAAACTAGTCCTCAGTGACATACTTCCTCCAGCACGGCTGCACCAGCTATACCTCCTCAAACAGCACAGAGCACAGCCATCCACAAACACTCATAAACATAAAAAATGATTAAAACAAACCAACCAACCTTCCCAAACAGCTATACCAACTGGGGACTAAGTGTTTAAATGCTCAAGACTATGGGGGACATTTTTTACTTGAACCA